ATCATAACAAGCAGAAAAATGGATTAATTTTATATTTTTTTTTTCAATCTACTTTAAAAAATGTAAGCTTTCTTTTCAGAAAAATAGATATATTTTTTAATTTTTAATAAAATAGTTATAACAATTTCAATTTTTTTAATCGTTAATTTTTATCATTTAACACAAACATTTTTTTTCCATGCTATTCGATTGATTATTTAAAATAATGAAAAGTTGCTTTGGAAATTTTGTTTTACGATAAAAATAAAGATAAAAAAATCACGTTCGTTTTGTGAAATTGTTATAACTTTTTTTATTAAAAATTAAAAAATATGTCTATTTTTCTGAAAAGGTAGTTTACATTTTTTAGAGTAGACTGTAAAAAAAAATTTAAAATCCATTAATTTTTCTGCTTATGATTTTTTAAATTTCTGAAATCATCCCTTAACTTCTAGTCTCCCTAACGCTGTTAATTTTAATAGTACAAGGAAAAGTCAATAGACCATTTTTATGTTTAATTTTTTGCTCTACAATTTTTATAAGAAACTTTTTTTCCATCTCTTACCCCTTTTGAGTTATATTGAAAAAGCCTTTATTTTATCTTTTTTCACCCCTGGCCGGGGGTTGAAAAAAATCATTTGTTATTATTATATATCAAAAGTTCAGGCAAGTTGACCAAAATTGCGATTTAAAATCCCATTTAATTGGACTATTACAAATTAATAGGAATTCATATATTTGAGAAAATGCTACCTAAACAAGTTGCTGAGTTTCTCAAAATTAAGGATGCTCACCGATATACCGGACATTGTGTCCGTAGAACTTCAGCTACGCACTATTAATTAAAATTGCCTTCTTTAAAGAACAAATTTTAATTTAGCGGCAGTAAAAATCTTTCTAATGCCTAGGCAGTAAATGAGACACTTCAGTACCTGAACCTGACAGCTCTCACTAAAACTACGTCTTTAATATCGATCGGCGAAAAAATACTTTAAGCGTTATACAGCATACGCAGCATACAGTAAAAAAATATAATTTTCAGAAAAATTCTTCGTACTTATTGAATAAAGTTTATTCAAATACACTAAATCGCAGGGTATAGTCCATACGATATATGTTGAGATAGAATTCCAAGAAGACCCCTGCGTCACTTTCTTGGAATTAACCGCATTCGACACCCGAGGTAGAAAGACTGGCGAAAAACCATGCCGCTGCCACGGTAATTGACACCCGAGGTAGACAGACATTCGCGGAAAATGTCAAGGCACGCCGGGGTAAATTGTTACAGTAGTTCTGGTAACAGAACTTTATTGGCTCTCTTTTCTTGGAATTCTATCAACAAATATCGTACGGGTTTTATACGGATAGCTTTTCTCCATTCTCCAAACAAATAGATAACCAAAATGTAATTGTGAACTGTTGTGCCAATTTTTATGTATTAAATTGTTCTATATACACAAGTTTATTAACATGGAGACTGATCTAACCGCTAGTTGCAACATTTTACCGATAAATTCAGATTGATATTCGCTACGAATCCATCCTTGCTACGTAATTCCAAAACAAGGATAATACTGTTTTAATATTTTATATTTCAATCTGTGCAGTTTCTTTCCTACCTAATCTGAAATGATACTGCTATTCTCTCAGAAAACAACAGCTTGCGATATAAATAATGTTTATATATAATATAAATTTATAAAGTTGGTCTAAAAATATGAGATTGAATGCATTCATGGAGAAACGGTCCTGTATGAATTAAGAGGCCGTTTAAATACACAAATTTTCGTATAGCATTTTAGAAAATCTAAACAAATTAGAAGCAATATCTCTTCACTGTACCAGTTCTCTTCAGGGTAGAAAACAACTGACAATAGGTACACTCAAAATAAAAAAAAAAACATATTTTTACCTCGTATGTTTATCTTACTTTTCCTGAAAAAATACATACAGATATTCAAATAAAATTTAAACTAACCGCGCTTTGGCGAGCCTTCTCGTACGATGTTCACTTGTTACGACTTATTTCAACAAGTCACAAGTCGCGATTCTCGAATCGTTGCAGTCTAAGCCGCTACATCAATGTGTTTTCATTTCGATTTTTTAAGTTTTCGCAATTTGCAAGTTTTTTTGTTAATAACAAATTACTGACCATCGATACAGAAAAATGTCATTAAGGTTTTTTGTTCGCAACAACGTAATATAGATTAGAAAAGGTTTCATCCTGGCCCCCCTCTGTGGTCGGTCCAATAGTTTTTCTGTGCGTCTTTTTAGGGGTGTACCGCTCGCCTATAAAGGAAGATGCTCTAGTTTAGTGTTAGGCTTCATCATTTCTTGAACGGATCTACTTATTCTATCATTGTCTTACTAAAAGTACGATTTCTTGTCTATAAAAAGCCAGCCTTAACAGGTACAGGGACGGTCAAATTAATGTAAAATTGCGAAATTTGACGTAGAATCACTTGCCGAAGAGGAATTTGGCATACCTTTTTGCCATTTGAAATTTTCCAGGGAGGAATGAAAATTTTATTTTTCGTATTTTTTAATTCAGTGCATTTTTCTGATTACGATGATGTGTTATATGATATAGATTATTTTTTGTTTCCATCAAAATACTAAATTATCTTTTTCCAAAGAGTGTTTTGAAAATAAAACATCCAAACTTACTTTAAACGAAATTTTCATTAACAATGTGTAAGTCCAGATAATTAAAAAATACAATCTTTACATGAAACGAACCCAGATTTCTTCAAATTAATTTATCTGTAAGTCTGAAGCATGTCTCGCTCTTCATCAAATTCTGCAACTTTGCCCTAATTTTTGCAACCTTGTATCTCTTAAGATTTCTTGTATCTCTTAAGATAGCCGAGATGTCCATGTCCTCTAATGCGGTCACCTATATAGGGTGTTTCTTAATAACGTGCTAATATTTAAGGAGGTTATTCTTGGATCTATTTTAAGAAAAAGAACTTCATATGAACATATGTCCTAAAAGTCTTAACTTTTGAACTACAGGGTGCTAAAGTTTTATGAAAAAACAGTTATTTATAATAACTTTGGGGTATTACCCTAGATATTTTTTCATATTTGGTACACGGCTTCTATTCATCTAGATGCATTTTCTGATGTACAAACAATTTTATTATTTTAGCTAGTGGCGTCTGTACAGGTTTGGTATTGAATATTTTTGAAGACAAATATGTTACGCCACTGCTTTCTCGTAAAGTAAAAATCATTTTTGAAATCCTCATTCCTTTCTGAACAAATGTAGTGTCTTAAATTTTTTTCGTTTGACATACGGTTTTCGCATAAAAAAACCTATACAGACGCCACTGGCAAAAATAATAAAATTGTTTGTACATTAGAAAATGCATCTCGATGAATAGATGGCGTGTACCAAATTTGAAAAATTATTTAGGGTAATACCAACGTTATCATAAAAAAATGTTTTTTCATAAAACTTTTGCACCCTGTAGTTCAAAAGTTAAGACTTTTAGGACATATGTTCATATGAAGTTTTTTTCTTAAAATGGACCCAAGAATAACCTTAAATATTAGCACGTTATTAAGAAACACCCTGTATGCAATATTTTACGTTCGTATTCGTTAATTTATGAACACGTAAGAACGTTTAAATGAGATAACAGTAATTTTTTATTAGGATAATAATTACCCAAATATTTTATTTTTATTAAAACATATGTTAGATTTGATTATAATAAATGCCATATTAAAAAGATAAACTGATAAACTTGCTGAAATTCTAAAATGTTCCGTTGTTATGGGTATAATCACTTCTGAAATATTGTCTACTACATCGTCTGTGTCTACGTAATGCAAATTAAAAGCGAATTTGGGATCAGTTTGAAGAGTTGTATAGACATTAATGTTTATTATAACGATATTAAAAGTTATAAAAATGCCGTAAGAGCCATAAAATCAGCAACAAATATTCATTTAGCCACTAGCGATAATATTTGTCTCCATTAAGTCGACCAAACATTCATTCTTTTCAAGGGTTTTTATACCGCAGATCGTTTTGAATAATGGATGAAAACCACGGGCTTTGCCTGATGTGGCATTAAAAATGTCAATAATGATGGACTGAATGGTTGAATTGTTTCGTTTAGAGTTGTTTATTGATTTTATTCGCGTTTAAACACCGTTAGATTGAGGCATTTTTTATAAATCGAACTCTAACAAATTTTCGTTTTTTTTTTAAATATGTACATAGGGTGTTTCGTTTGGAACGTACATCTCTTTTTTTTTGGCTCCATTGACGAAATATTGTTCTAAACATTGGAAAAAAAATTCTAACCAAATGACCCCGCAGGTTCCTTATGGAAAATGGCTTCCAGCCGATAGTTCTGAAAATTTGGATTTGAATAGTTCTCAAAGCTTAGATAAAAAGTTGTCATAGGCACTAAGCTGAGAAAATATATTTTTCGAAATATAGTCGCCGAAAGGTAGGAGTTATAGTACCGCGAGGTATAAATTGAAAAAGACTCATTGTAAGATCAAATGAAGAGAAGCCGTGCAATCTGTCCAAAACACATATTTCTTATATTGTCGGGGTTACTGAATCCGAATCAGCCATCCATTCGGGTATGCAGATGCTATACAGGGTATACAGTATACAGAAGGTGCTTAGGAAAAATGATGATGAATTTCAATTGGATGAACATATAGATGAACCAGGACTTCTAAGAGCACGAATTTTCTCAAGATTCCGAAATGCTGCAAGACATCAAATATTCATTAGTTTTCAGCTTAGTGCCTATGATAACTTTTTATCTACGCTTCGAGAACTATTCAAATCTAGTTTCAAAACTATCGACTGAAAGCCATTTTCCATAAAGAACCTGCGGGGTCCTTTCAGCACTTAATTTTAATTTTTAGAACTCGCTATTCGATTTAAAAATGTTCCTATTTATTTAACACGTAAACTTCTGTTTTCAAATACTCTAGTTACAAATTTATTTATATTTATTTTTTAACAGCTCTTTTATTTTTTTTTGCAGCCTCCCCCCGCGCAGAGACAGCACAGCCAGACGCCGGAGAAGGAGATGAAAGATGACAGGCTGTCGACCAACAACAACATCAAGATTTCCCCCATCCCTACTCCCTCCCTGCAGACGCCCCCCGCGTCCCCCCAACAGCCCAACCAGTCGAAGAGGCTCCTGCAGGAGATCCTCTCCCGGCCGGGTCCCTATCCCATGATAGCGGTGCCCCAGAAGGGGTACTGGGTGGACGGTACTGACCACGAGGAGCAATTCGATCACAGGGGGATGCCCGTCGTCCCGCACCCCAGCTGGAGGGCGAAGATCGAAACCGACGACACGGCGAAGTGCTACAGGAGGTTTTTCGTTGGAAGGGTGAGTTGGAAATATAATAAAGTCACGTGTTGTTGCTATATTTCTTATGGGAGAGTGAGATTTAATGCGGACTAGAAAGTACACGGAAAAATTTGTTGTATTTCCTATGACAGCCCCATATTTGAACATATTTAGCAAAGATGCGTTTTCAGAATATTTTGGTAGTGTTTAAGAATCATCGCGCTTTCATCTATCGTTGAAATATCTGAGAGATTCTACGTATGTTTAACAATCGACTATATCAGCATTCCTCAAAAACAATTAAAAAAATTGGGACTTGGTAAAGGATCTGGACTAGATAGGTTATCAGAAATCTTGTAAACAATCTATTTTACATTCCCTGTGTAATATTTAATAATAAGTCACTTTCTAAAGGCGTTTTTCCATGTATTTGTAAAGAAGCGAAGCTACCCCAATTCATAAAGGTGGAAGAATCATCCAATTTCTTTATCCTTCTTCTTCTTCTTCATCTAGTGGCTGGTCCTAGATCACTCGCTCTTTCCTTCGAAGGATACTCCATGAGCTCCTTAGAATGGCTATGTCCTGGCCTTGAAGTCCAGTATTTCCTGTGTTCTGTCACAGTCCATTTGCCCAGAGCCCGCCTGACCACACTGGGAGATGTGCCATAGAAGGGCTCCGGGCCAATGAACTCTGTCTCGGATTTCTTCCTAGCAAGTTCATCCGCTTTCTCATTTCCATGCATGCTTTTGTGTCCTGGCACCTAACACAGTCTGACTGTATTGTTGGTGGCCAGTTCAGTCAGCATTTGTAAACAATCCCACACCAGTTTTGAACTTACCTTGTGTGCAATTTCTTTATTAGAAACGATTATAACTGATATACTCTATTTTATCTTGAAAAATGTCATAATAGAAGAACAACAATCACTAAGAAAGTACTAATCTGAATACTGAAACACTAATCACTGAATAATAAACAAGTTTTCACACCCTGGAATAGCGGCGACAGATTTTTCTATAGCAATACATCTTAACCACGACATTGCAGGGATAGGTATGTTTCAGTCATCCAGTTGAATAGACGATTAAGTCTAATTTGGTCCAATTTTCAGCTCCCGAGACGGCGGGAGCAGAATTTTTTATTGCTAAACGTTCTACATTGTACTACTGGCTATGTCATATCAAAGTGTGGTTATGGCGTCTATTTTTAATCACGACGTTAAAGGGTGTGTTTTAATCCATATTTTTCCAAGGTCGATCTGTTGTAACTAATATTGTGCCATATTTTCAATTAATATCATAAAGTATAGATGAAAGATGTGAAGTAGAAGCCGTATACATTGATTTTTCTATAATTTTTGGTTCAGCATCATGCTTTACTTACTAAACCGTAAAATATCGATGTGCAAGGCAACATCCTGAGATGGATTAAATCAAATGTACCAAGAAGTCACAACGTGCAAGTAAATTAGTAAGTTATGCTTCGAATTATGTCAAAATTACATCAGATATACCACATGACTCTCATTTGGGCCCTTTACTATTTTCATTGTTTTCAATGATATTAACAAACCTATTTGCCACCTAAAAAAATAATACACTCTGTTCTTTAGTCATAGAATTCTTAATCTGTCACTGTCATTACATTATGTCAACCGCTAAGGTTTTCTTAATAATTGTTGACGTCTAAATATTTGTTCTTACGAGCACAGTATGTGAAATTACAATACTTGCATTACTTACTTTGCTTCCATTACTTACTTTTTAGTTTAGTTGTACAGTATGAAAAATTGCTTACATTGTAAGTTATGTAAAATTACTTACATTACTCATCATTAACTGACGTTACTTACATTACTTACGTTTTTAGTTTCGTTTTAGTCTTAATTTAGACTTTGTCGTTCTTAGCCAATACCTTCTAATCTACCTCTATCTTTTGTTTTGTAATTATTCAGCAGACCGAAATTGAAATGTTTGTTAGCATTATGGTGTACTGCCATGCATATAAATAAACTGTAATTGATTTATATCAGTATCGTTTAAGCAATGATATATTTAATTTGATATGAAAACGACCATTAAAATACGATTGTATGGAAATTTGCTACAAATATTTATATGATTTATATGATTCACAAAATTAATATTAAATCAAAGGGTCCTGTATGTATATAAAACCAACATTTTGGGAAGATTTATTGTTGAATTGTTAGGCATGTGAAAAATTGAACTACAAACTATGGGGTAAATGAAGAAGTATTATTTATTATTTTGTATCATATTATTTTTCATCCCATATTCAAAACAACTTGGTTCTGAATTGCTCCGAGTAGAATAGATATCAGATAATTATTGAAGTTTGATATATGAAATATGGAATATGTTTCAATTTTTTAAAGGAAAAATGAGTATAATTTTCTTCATTTCATCATTAACAGTAATGAATTTAGTTGGACAAAGTCTAAACCTGTTCATTATGTTTACTAGAAACCATCATTACAAGATAAACACTATTAGCGTCATAGAAAAATGTTGTCACGTGTCCATTTACATTTATTTCAGCTTTACTGTGTTAAACTACAAGCTTCAGTAGGTAGTGCAAAATAAGTTCTGGAACACATTTCATAAACCAACCGTTAAATTTAACGGTGTCTCTGTGAAATATTAGTTTATATTTATTAGTTATTATAATAACTGTTGAATAAAATACAAATATTATTCAAAAAGAATCCTGTTTTGATAAATTATTAGCGATAACAATGACATCATTGATACCATACCAATTAGGAATTACAAGTACAGTGTAATTTTTTTTAAACCTGACAGGCCAACTTTTTTATTTGAAGTGATAGGCTAGTATTTCCAAATGCAAAGTTGCAGGAAATAACTTGATTAAGAAAAATTTACAAATAAATATTTCCGGTGTTGCCAGATTTCTTCAATAGCTACTAAAACAATATTTTATTAAATGGCAACACCGTATTTTTTAACATAATTTGACAGATCTTCAAATTCTAAATAAAAAATGTTATGTCACATTTTTTTATTGAAGTAGCCATTTTAGAACAATAAACAAAAGTAACGAAAATAATCTATAGTTGGCAGGAACTAAAGAAGCTAACATAGCAATAGTAGGCCTTGGAAATTAAACAAAAATTGTATTGTCTTGCACCAAATTCAGCGCACGCATTATGTGGATTTAAGCCGCCAACATGAAAAAAAAATTAATTCAACTTTCTCTTTTGGATTAAATAACTGATTCATAGCTACTGAATTAAAATATTATTTTTCTACACATTCAAATACAACAGTTGTCAAATTCCACAATGACAGCACAATAATGATGGCTCTTCTAATAAAGAAATGTGACTTAACATTTTTTATTTAGAATTTGAAGATTTGTCAAATTATGTTAAAAAATATGGTGTTGCCATTTAAAAGAATATTGTTTTAGTAGCTACCGAAGAAATCTGGCAACACCGGAAAGTATTATTTGTAAATTTTTCTTAGTCAAGTTATTTCGTACAACTTTGCATTTGGAAGGACTAGTTTTATCACTTCAAATAAAAAAGTTGGCCTATGTCAGGTTTTAAAAAAATTACACTGTATTTGTAATTTCTAGTTGGTATCAATGACATCATTGTTTTGGGTTATAATTTATCGAACTATTTTAAGTATGATACTTGAACATTTTTATTTAGTTTAAACTCAAGTTTAAATTTTTGTTATTGAAAACTATTTAAATTTTGTTGAAACATTAAAAAATGTATGAAGACATTAGACATTAGAGATAAGTCGAAACCTCTTCATACAATTTCCTTTCAGATTCCATTGAATAAACCCTTTACAATATGATTATTTAAGAAATAACTGATTTTTTTACATATTTTCAATATACTACTGTTAGATGTTAGCGGCAAGTGGCAGGCATTGTTCGGTTGGCATACCTCTCTGCAGTTTTATTTCTACGAACAACAAAGTACAAAGTACGGTACTTCATCATTTATTCATGAGCATTTGTTATGCGAAGTGAAGTGAAAGTGCTGAAATTTATTTTGCAATTTTAATACTTACTCATACAAAAATATTTAGGAATTTCTCTATAGCGTTTTATCTAGTGGAAGTGGCATATAATAAATATAATACCGAATGTTTGTTTTACGTGCAAGAAAATACAGAGGGTTCGAAAAGTATAAGCCAAAAATTTTGTTTGTTTATGTCACTCTTGAAATCTCAATGAATTTATTACTTGAGATTTCCGGAAACTATGAGTATAATGCACTTGCATCGTTAATTTTACAAGTCTCTTTTGCTTGTAATTTACAAAATTATGATTTCCAGAAACCGTTCGTCTGAAAGGCCCGATAAGTTATAAGTTAATTGCTGATAGAATTGTAACTGACGCACTGAGCCTCGCTTCAATAAAATTAAACTTTCTTACGGGTGAAATTTCCAGTGATTCAGACTGGAAGTGTGAAACCTCCAGAGATGCTCCGGTCCGTCCGAGAAACTCGAACAACGGGAAAAGTTTAAATGAGAGTATCATTTGTTTTCTTAATTTGGAGCTGTGAAAATGAAGATAATAACGAAGTTTAAATTGAGATTTCCTCCTTAGATACAATTATTATCTCCAGAATTTGTCTAAATTAGGGACAATTTGTGTTATTTAGTGGTCGTTTAATTTAGAGACTCAAAAGAAAAGTGAAAAATACGAGGGAAATATTTTTAACTCGCGTATTTTGAGGCAAATATGTATGTACAATATGTATCTTATTTTATGAAAAATATAAATAGTTTTTGGTTTTCTGTTGATGTAAGAAGTTTTGTGTGTCCAATTTTGAAACACTGAAACATAATTTTAATATTTCTTCGGGAAAAAGGGGTTTTATTTACAGGATACTTTGATTTAATGTTACTATTATGAACATTAACGTGAAAATCTTCCGCTTCATTGCACTTAAAACACTATTATCTACATTTAACTCCGCATAAAACTCAATCGTCACTCAATACTCCTCGTTAAACCAAGATTGGTTAAGG